GGAGAGGGCCTGCAAGTCTCTGTAAGCACCTGTTACTCCTACACAGAAATCTGACTTCTTAAAACAGACCAAGGATAAACAGCAGCAGGCATAATATAGGCATAATTTCCTACACTGATATTCTCCGGCCTTGTCTTTCCCAACTGCAAGGTCACCTGAGTGAGTCTATTCCCTCCTCACTGTTCATCATTCAACCCTTTCCTCCCAACAATCCCCTCTTTTCTCAATAAAAATATCTGAAATATTGATAAAAATGTGTCAAAAAGTGTGGGACTGCTTTCTTTTAAAGAAAAAATACAAGGAGAATACACTAAACACAGCAGCAAAATACAATGAGATGCGCCAATTTCCAGGACAAATATCAGACAAGTAAAATTAATTTGGGCCATTGCAGTATTGCATGGATTTTAGATGTATCAAAAAGCATTAAGAACTAAATCTCTGAAGTAGAGGAAGTGGGTGTCATTGGTTGGGAAGTTTTGAGTTCTGTAACAAGTCCATTAGAGGAAGCAGACAACTTTGGGGAAATTAGAATACGCAAACAAGACATTTTGTTTTAAATCCTATAATCTGTAACATTTTTATTTTTTAGATTTGCAACAAGTATAGTCACATTTAATCCACTTGAAAGTGTTTTAGTAAATCCTAAGTTTACCTCTCTAAAAATGTGAGTGAATTTCACTCAGTTCTTACAGAGGGAAAGATTTTAGAAAAATTAATGTATGAAATTTTCTACATTTGAGATGGTTATCTAGAATATGTTTATAGTAAGTGAAGTAAAATTCATCTCTTTCTAAAACAGATTTTCTTGCGGATTAACCTTGTTATCCAGCTAAGATCCACATAGCCACTTACTCCTCCACAGCAGGATGGTGGTAAGAGTCAGAAGAGTAAAAGTGAGAAAATTTTAGGTTGAGATAAAGACAGGTTAGTAGGGAAAGCAAAAGCTGTGTGCACAGGAAAGCAAAATAAGCAAGTCATTCATCACTTTCCATCAGCAGGCAGGTGTTCAGCCATCTCCAGGAGAAGTAATGGTTATTTGGAAAGACAAATAACATCACTCTGAAGACCCCTTTCCTTCCTTCTTATTCCCCTGGCTTTGTATACTGCCCATGATACCACATGGTATAGGATATCCCATTGGTCATTTGGGGTCTGCTGTCCCACCCAGATATCCTCCCAGAATCTTGTGCACTCCTGGACTCCTTACTGATGGGGTGGCATGAGGAGTAGAAAAGGCTTTTACTCAGTGGAAGCGGTGTTCGGAAATCGTGAAAACATCTCTTTGTTATCGATGTTGTTTGCAGCACAAATCCAGAACATTACCCCTCTTTAGCCTCTATAAGGGAAACAAACTCTATCCCAGACAAAACTAGTACAGATGATTCAATCGTCACATAAGCAGAAAATATTTGTATCAATTCAGTGGCTACAAAGGAGTTTCCAGACATTCCCTCAGATGTAGACATAAACAGTATAGATACATAAAGTTATATTACATTAATTCCACCCATAATGTCTAGTCATCAAACTTCCTCATTAACCAATGGAGACATGCAATTACATCTAAAATTAATCTCATTCTAAAATAAGTGTCTAAGACAGGTAAGATAAATTATACCCTGATTATATAAAGTATTTGCTTCATATTATTTATTCAACTTTAATTTAAACAGGGGCATGGATCCTGACTTATAAATTAATAAAAAAAAATAAATAAAACCAAAGCAACCTCTTCCACAAAAAAACTCTAAACAAACAACAACAAAAAAAACCCTGCAAAATACATTTTTCTTAATAATTTTTTTTTCACTAGTAGGAACTGAAAAACTCCATATTTCACAATGTCATGTAAAAGAGGGTATTTCCTTCAACTCTCTGTGTTTGATTTAGGCTATCAGTACCCCAGGAAAGCCAAGACACTTGTGCCCTATCAGTCTGTCAGCACCCCACTATGGGGACTCTTCACTGAGCAGTCCTGCTGGATCAAAGGGCTGTTCAGTGGGCTTGTTCCTGGTCAAACACCACAAGTGTGGTGTTTGTGGACCCCTATGAGGTGTCCACACTTTTACCCTAACCTGTTACCCACTGCCAGCCACTGCCAGCACCCCTGAAGGTCTCACAGTAAGAGATCACAGAGTCACACTCTTTGTTAATAAAATTGTGGCGGGTTAAGATTTGAGGACTGCTAGTGACAATATCTGACTAGTGTTACAACTTACCCCTGAAGCAGGCAACTGAGGTTCTTATTAATAGATCTCTTGGGGCAGATTAGTGAAAAAAACACTGAATGATCAGTGTTTATACACATATGTGTGTATATATGGCAAGTTCATTTTTGAAAAAAATGGTTGCAAATTGGAAAGGAATAAATAGCTGTTTTGGTTTTCTTCATAGAAATACAACAATATAAAAGTATAAAAATACCACATAAGAAAATCTACAGGTGAAAGGAAGAAAAAGGAAGAAAAATTAAGGACAAGAGTACATAGCAGAGGGGAAAGATATAACCAACCCATGCATCCAGAGACAAGACTTGATTGTTGCAATGTACAAGCACATTGGTCAAAGTAACAGGGCCAGTCTTGGTCCATTAGTGGTAGGGAATGATCAATGCGTTAAGATACGTTCAGGTTCTGGTGGAAATGCCCAATCCTCTCCCTGCAAAACAGGGGAGTTTTGCACCTGAGCCTTATCAGGAGGGTGAACATTAACATGATAAAAAGCATTATCTCACTTGGTAGGATCTACTTCTTAGGGGTCTCTTCCCTTATCTGTCTCACACCCAGCTTGTTGCTAAACAAAGGTCAGTCTGTCCCGATCATCCTCCAGCAGCGCTGCTCATCCCTCCTGCACCTAGGCTGTTCTTGTGCAGACCAGAGTGTTTGACACCATACCCCCAAACCTCTCCTCCTCCCCATCAGTTGGGGGGTGCAAACCTGGCCTCTTCAAAGCTTGGGCCTTTTGTGCATGGCTGATGGATTGAGTCATTAGCCTTTAACATTTCAATCTCTCATAACTGGAAGAACCTCTTCAAAGTGGTACACTAGCAAACTGCAATCTAAGTTTTGTCTCCCATAGATTGTGTGTAGGAAGTCATCCATACTGACTTCAATCTCTCTTTATTACAATGTAATTTTACACCCAGACTTTTCCCACACACAGCTACAAAAGTACTTTAAAATAGTGACAATATTGTCACCGTTAAATCTGATTTGCACTGTAAGGGGGATCTGCATTTTTCTATAATCTGTGATTTGGATTTTTCAGGGAAAGTGTTGAGTTGGTTTAATTTTTTTTAATAGTGTTTTATTTAGTTAGTTAGGTATTTCTCTATTTTAATTAAAATAAAGACTTTACCATTTTTTAATTTTAAATTTTCCTCATGTACTTCAAAATTATTCTGCCTCTTTTTCATAATTTGAAGGATAGATTTCATGATTTCTGAAAAACATAGTATTTTTGTAAAGGTGTTTTAAGGTCTTGAGTTGAAGTGATTGGAAACATTATTTATTAAAAACTGGAATTTGACTCATCAAGTTATAAATTACTTTTGAACTTCATGAGGTTATTTCCCAAAAAGCTTTAATTTTTTTTTTTTAATCTCATAAAACTGAAAACCAAGAGAATTTTGATCTCTGTCTCTTCCTTTTTATGTTGCCAGTGATTGGTGATGTCATCTTCTGTGTGGCTTTTGAAAAAATTGTTCAGTGTTCGATCATAAGATCAGAAAAGAACACCATAACATAAGAATAGACATCAGAGGTCGATTCAAAGGTCCATCTAACTTAGAACGCTGCCTCTAAAACTAGATGACAACAGAAAAAAGGATCATAATAGAAAGAGATTATTAGGATGAGGTAAACTCTCGGTAATATTTCTCAGAAAGTTTCCCAGCTAACAACAATCTGTGTCTGAGAAACTTGCCAACAAAATTTTCTAAGTTTTTGGTATCTCTTGATGGTTTTCCTTTGCTCAGAGTTGTCCATTATCTCTTGAATATCTGTCAAGCTTTTTAAACTCATCAGAATGCTGTGTCTAGAAGATATAGAACTGAAGAAATCATTTTATAAAAAGATTCCTCCTTATGTTTATTCTGTATCTACCACCTGCTAGTTTCATTTGTTTGTGTTTTGAGAGAGACAATAAACACCTGTCGTCCTCATGCCATTCACAGTTTCAGAGATATCCATTTTCATTTATTCCATCATTCATTTATTTTATTTAACCTTTGCCACAAATCCTTGGTCACACTTGCTCTTCTATGCACTTTTTCCAAATATGTGTATTTTTCAGTTACAGGAACAGAGGAAAGAGACTGTATCCACTCTCAGTAATCAGAACACAGATTACCACAAATATGTGTAGTGGCATAGAATATTCTCCAAGTCCTTTCAATATAATTTCTATTATTCTACTTGGTATTCTTGACTGCTTCTGAGCATGGATTCTTCTTCAGATTTTCCATTCCAGGAACATGCATTTTCACTAGTGTTGAAGAAAAAGGTGTGCATTCTAACATATAAAATTTAGGACTGAGTACTGAATTCTGGTGTTTTAATGCCACTTTCTGAATTAAGTCATTAGAAAATCTGAAGGCTATCAGTTTGAGAGCTAGGGTAAACTTTTTTTTTATAAAACCCCTTCTTAATTGATAATAGAAGTAAGTGTAATAATATAATTGTATATCAACATTTCAGGAAATTTAGAGATTTTTTTTGCTAATTAGAATGTAATTATTGTAGCCTACAGAGACTGAGAAATTGCTTTCTCGGGGTATCTTCTTGTAATTTATTAAGATTTTATTTTTTAATAATAAGAAAATAAAGATCCAGAAGGACAAAATGTTAAATAATGTAAAAATATATTTTACTGAAAATTAATATTTTAGGCAATAATTTCATATGTATCAAGTAATCATCACTATTGATCTATATTTTATTATGAAAACTGAAAATTTTATGCTGAATGTGTTCAACTTGCAGTGAAGGTATTTACAGATCATAGTGAAATGAACCAATCAAGAAGCTGGTCAATGTAGTTTCTCAATTTTTAATAACATCAACATTTTATTGCAGAAATAATCACCCTCATTGTAAAAGTCAAATCATATATAATTTTAAAGTTGGAAGAAGTAAGTAGTAGAGCTAGCCTCCTTTCCTTATTCACCTCCAGAATACACTTATTTTATCCCTTTTCTGTTGGTGTGGGATGGATGGATGGATGGATGATGGATGGAATAAAAGGATGATTGATTTACATTTCTATTTGAGATTTCTGTGGAAAAATGAAAAATATTCATTAACAAACATGATTTTTGTATCACTTTCATAAAATTTACTCCTCAGGAGAGACACAAAAGAGACTGGTTTGTGAAAAGCATGAGGGTACCTATCTAAGCAAAATGGTTGTTATTTTTAGAGTCCTGCAATGGACATTCACTGAGGTTGAATGCTGCCAAAAGTGGGTCTTTAAAATGAGTATGCACAAATATATTTGCATTTACATTTCTAAATATAATTTTATCACAACTGTGATCTTTATCTGACTTTAATTTTTTGTTAGCATTCTTTTATATCAACATTGCTTTTCTTCCCAAAAACATGATGTGACATTTAAACAGTCTTGTAATCAAAGATATCACGATACCAAATATTTAGCTTAAAATTATGCTTGGAAAACTGAAATGCTCTACTTCTTTCTGGTTTTGTGCCTGTAGAGATACTTGGATTCTCCTTTTAAACAGAGTTCTAACATTGCAGAAATGAAGTTTCATGACTGTATGGAAAATTTCACAATTATTAGAGACATCAAAAAAGTCCAATGTTTTGGAAACAGAAATCTCATAATTTCAGCTTGCTAAAGCTGTGCAAAAGAAATATTTCACTTTTGTTTGTAATTTGTGTCAGTCAAGATTCTTCTCAAAAATCTGGAAACCTTTAGGAATTTAATTTCTAATTTGTGTTGTACATGTACAATCTTTTGGAAGTACAAAGAATCCTCTACAGGAAAAATTAACTTGGTGAAAGTAGAAGTTTAGGAGTTGCATTTGGATATTTTGACCCAATTACACTTTATAAGATTTCTGCATTTTATTTCAACATACAATTATTGCCTTCACCAAGGCAATACAAGTTTTGTTCCCAGTATTATCATGTACTTTCTCTGTGAATCTTAAAAAAAACAAAAGGCCTGTAGACCATAGTTTCTCCATCTGTAAAATAAGATAACTTTCTAAAAAGGATATAAGTCAACAGTAATCAGCATTTTTGAGAGCATCTGACAAAAACACTAAACAATAGCAAAGAAGAACTATTTCAATTATTACTGAACCTTAATTTAAAAAAATCTGCTTTCCAGTCAGGCTGAAAACTTGATGCATTTGTAAATCAGATTTATTTTGTACAGTAGTAAAAAGCAGAATCCAATCTAAACATTTTCTTACTAATAAAATGCACGTGACAGGTTCGTGTTGTGAATACTGACACTTCAATTATTTGAAAATTATGCGATCTATCACTAGACAGAATATCTTGCATAGTTCACCTTTTACTAGACTTGTTTTGATTCCTTTAATATTACTTGTAATTATGAGTGCAATGCTGAATTATAAAAATATTAAGCAAACATAAAAGCTACTGACTGGAACATTTTATGATGGAGAAAATAACTCTGAACTTTCAGAAAATTGTCTTAAGTTTCTCTAGTCTAATGCCAAATGATGAAGTACTTTGTAATGGAATGTCAAATTATGGATACCTATTATATAATTTATATAAGGTTCTGGACATTGAAAATGGTTTGGGGGGTTTTTTCCTATTCACTTGAAACTGACTGCAATTAGCTCAAAATAGCTTATGATACTGCAAATTTTTGAATTTGGAAATAAACATCTTTAGATTTCTAATTGAGTAACTATGGAATCTAAATATCACAGAATAGTTGAGATTGGAAGGGACTTCTAGAGGTCATCTCCCCCAAACCCCCTGTGCAGGTAGGTCACACAGAGGCAGTTGCTGATGACCATGCCCAGAAGGCTTTTGACTGTTTCTAAGAATGGGCACCCCAAAGTGTCTGTGGGCAACATGTACGTGGTCATCCTGACCATAGGAAAAGGTACCACCTGATGATCAGAGGGAACTTCCCATACTTCACTTTGTACCCATTGCTTCTGGTCCTGTCATCACCACTGAAAATGGCCTTGCACCATTCCCTTTGTGCAGCGGCTACCTGCCACAGCCTCGGGCAGATGGGATGAGCCGGCTGGCACTGCCCATGTGAGGCGGTGGCCGCCGAGAGAGAGGCATCCCAGGGGAGTGGCGTCTGCCAACCTGGTGGTGCTGAGTGCTGCGGTGTGGGTTGTGCAGCTTTGGTAGCTCCACACGCTGAGAAGAGGTGAAGAGATGAGAGAAGGACACTTGTGTGTGAGCCCAAAGAGTCTTTATTTTCCCCAGGGGGGCCAATAGCAAAGGTGATCTCTGAGTGGGTGCAGGAATGTCAGGGAAATCAAAGGTTACAGCAACTTAAATAGGGAGAGGGTGGACAGGGGTGCAAATCTGTCTTGCCCAATGGGGATAAACCAGAAAGGCATGGTATCAATTATAAAAACCAATGATAACATAACAGGGGTGGGCACTAATTCAGGGGACAGATAGAAAAGCTAAACTGGGGTGATTGATACAGAACTTTCTCGAAGAAACTGGAACAGGATTGACAACCGAAAGGGTGTGAACAAACTCTGGCTGATGGAACTAAGTAAGGAGAAAACAGGGAGAGGTGAGAAGATTGGCTCTTCATAACTGGGGAGCAAGCGGCAGGAACTTTTGGGGTAAACAACTTGGATCAAACCAACTGTGAGGGGAAAAATGAGGGAGTACAAAAGAAAACATAACATTAATAAAACCAACTGACTAAATTAAACCACACCACAACACCTTTGCATCCTACCTTCCGGTACTTTTAGGCATTGATAAGATCCCCCTAGCTTTTCTGTGGAGAGAAACAAAGGCGGCATTTCAAGGAGTTCTAGAAAAAAAAAAGAAAAACTAGTATAAGTTACCTTTTTCTGCAGCTACATTCTTTAACCCAAATATGTTTGTTCCAAGTTAACTGCAGGGTTTATCATAACTCAGTCTGTCACTTCTGAGGTAGGTCCTGACATATCACTGTAACTACATCATTTTCTATATGTGGGATCAGCAAAAATAATATTTCCTTTAATTACAGGATGTGAAAGGTCACTTTCATCCACCACTGCTCTCTTTTCCCTCTCTCCTTCCTTCCTACTCCCTCAAGCTTCCCTTGACCCTGAAGCTAGGCCATATTTCTCAGCCCTGTCCTCATATTCTACACATATGGCCTATCCTCCTCTGCAAGATACTGTCCTCCTCTACAAGATGTTCTGGGGGCAACTGCAGCATGTATCCTCACTAAGGATCAGAAGTTAAAGGATATTTCAAAGGGAATTGGGTTAGGAAAACAAGCACATGTTGTGAAGTACAAAAATTATTCATTATTACCATTGAAAACCATCAGAAAACCAGCAAATACATAATGTACTGTTGCCAAAAATAAGATAAATTCAGTAGCTTCACCTCAAGATGCAAGGGCATGGCTGAAGGCACTTTAATTGCCTAGCATAGATAAAACCTTTGAGGTCAATGCAAGCAAGGCATTGAAAATGCACAGGGAAGCAAAAAGTGTGATCAACCTTATACACAATGGACTGAAGTCATCACCACCAGGAAGAGAAAAAGATGGAAAATAAAAGATGAGTAAATAAGGCAATATGTAATTAAATCTATGTATAGATTTTTTTTTACATGTATTCTTTTACTAAATATAATTTATCAGGAAGACAACAAGACATCCAATGGAAAACTAGACAGAAAAGGACAAGCCATTCAGTGGGAAACTAGGCAGATAATTCTGGCCGTTTAACAGGCATTGAGGATGTGAAACTGCCAGTCAAGACAGTGATTATGTTGTAGCCACTCATGGGCATGGCACCCACAGCCAAGCTCAAGGACTTGTGTGGCCCTGAGGACTGTGACATAATAATTATGCACATATGAACCCTGGTAGAACAATCCACAAGTGTGTTAAATAATGGTAATGGCCCAATATGACCAGTTCCCACCTAGGAAGATGAAAGTGTAAATTTAGCATACCCCAGACATGAAGTACGGGAATGACAGTAGTGTGGTGGAAGGTAATACTCAGATACCTTGTTGAAGGTGTAGAACAACAGAATCCATTAGCAATTATGATCAAAATGTATGAGACTTTGCTGGACAAGTGGGAGCTGTGCAGGATCATGTACGCAAAGGATAAAACTCTTCTTTCTGTCAAGTGACACAGAAGTTGCTGAGTGAATTGCAGCAGAGGTATACAATAGTATATCAAGGCATCCTTCATGCTGAAATTACTCACTGCACAACCTCTTACGGAGTATATAGAAAGTACATAGCTCCCCTTAAGCACATCTAACACTGTACTACTTCATATTTGTCAGATGGCTGCCATCAGCTTCTGGACTATTATGTTCAGCATTATGCCCTATCTTATCACTGTTCATAACTGCTACAGTGTTAGTCTTTCCATGGTTATAACCATATTGTGGTATATTTGTGACAGCATAAAGAGCAGGGAGCGTGCATTACATCCAAAGTGATCTCTCAACTCTGAACTTGCCTAGAACAGATTGCAGAGTTGGCAGACTGCCCTGAGTGACAGACCGGGTTACAAAAGTCAGTGCTGAGAGAACAGTGTCTTTGACCAGTGTCCTGAACAACAGCGATTCCCTTGGGGAAACCAGTGGTGGATTGGTGCACAATGTCACAGATGCCTTGATCTTTGTAATGCTAAGGACCCTTCTATTCATGATTCAGTGGGGCTTTTTCACTTACATCCCAATAACCCTTGGCTTAAACTTTTGCGGCTGTATTTTTCTGTAAACTTTTGTGGTTTTCCCTTGTTGCTTCCATGCACACTTACGAGTAGCTGTCTATTAAAAAATTGAGTTGAGTTTATTAAACCTTCTCCCAACAAGGTGTTCTCTGCTGATTTTTAAAAGATACCAATGTCTTTTTATGTCTACTAAAATGTTTTGAAAAATAAAACTATGTGAATATTTTTAAAAAATGGAACAGATGTTATATTTTGTTGTGTTCTACCTTGATTTTCTTTTTTTTTTTTTTCCTAATTCTACTTTATGTCTTTATCCTTTAGAAATTCTCTCAGTTATCTTTAAAATTATCATGTGTCTTGTCTGCCAAAAGTTGTTTTCTGAATTAGGGGACCAATTTGCATGCATCATTTTTTTATCCCCTTAATCACAAGGTAACGGTAGACATGAAAGTATCATATGTCTGTATTTCTGTTCAACACATGAAACCTCCTTGGAAATATTTATGTGTTTGCTTATGTCACTTAGATGCTTATGGTTGCACTTTAGATTATATGACTAGCAGTTTCAAAGAAATGGGGCTTTTGCTGCCTTATACCTATTCTTCCAGAAAACTAAAGTCAAACTGAAATATTGACATGAATCACTTGCTTGTGAATATGTAATTTTGGGTTTTCATGACTGCTTGGGTATAGATGAGAAAATAATAAACTACTCCAGTAATTATTATTCATCAGTATAATTTTACCATTCACATTTTAAGAGTTTCAAAACATTTGTAATTGGGATACAAAACAGGTGTGCTCCATTTTTTGTCCAGACCAGGACATAAAACTGAGAATTAAATAGTTGCAAAACAACTTTTGTATACCTACTATATCTAAGTATAGTATTCCTGAAATATTCCTGAAGTATTCCATGTCATAAAAGGTTATTGTACTGTTTTCGTGATGCAATAGATGTCATTCCCATTTCAAGAATAACAGTGTTAATGGAAGACTTATTCCCATAGTCTTTATTATACGAATTTGTTTTGGAACTCAGTTTATGCACATACAGTATGCATACATATTGATTTAATTCTAGGAAATCTATACATATGTTCTGGGCTAGTGTTTTCAATATGTTACATTTTGACAGTTGGAAACAAGTCAGATCTGGGTTTTACTGGTTACCAGTTCATAAAGCATCAACTTCATTTCACCTGAATTCTATATCTTAGAATGTTAATATGAAACAACTTCTTATCACATACTAATTTGCAGCAGAAAGAGAGTTCTCTGTCTCAATGTATGAAATTAATATATAAACAAGCAATGAAGAATTTCAAAATCACATTTTCTTCCATAAGTATGCATTCAAGTGACTTCAATGATCTGCATATTTGAGTAATTGCATTGTAGGATTAAAAAAATAGAAACACACAGAAAAACTTCCTTACTGTGCATAGTTGTTTTAAAAATCATCTAAAAAGCTTATAGGCATTTAATATTACAGCTGAATTTCTCAGACTTCTTTAGATACTGTGTGGGTGGACTGAAAGGAAAAAAGTGATTAGCTGCTTTATTTCTCCTGACTTTTAAGTTGTCGACATTTTTCTATTTATTTCTCAATATGCCCTTTATGACTAACACCCAAGGATAGATTCTATCGATTAGAATTTTGTCCTTTAGGTGTCATAGATCAGTGTAGATTGCCAGAATCTTTGAAATCTCTACAGAAAAATAAGAACAATTCCACACTTCTTGTTTTATTCACAGTATTAGTGAAAAATAATAGTAATTTTGAAGATTTTACACAGGAAAAAGTTTATTTTAAAAAAGGTATTATGGAGGTATGTAGAATTAAGGTTGAAGATTTAAAAAAATCTAAGCTAATATCCTCAAAATGACAGTAGACTAGCATGAAATAAACCAAATTACACGGTCACGAAATAAACTCTACTGTGTAAGAGGTCAGATCAGATGATCTAATGGTTCCTTTTTGACTTTAAATCTGTGATATTATGAAATTTCACATGTACAATTGTCATGGTGTACAATTTTTGTTGAAGAAGTAGTATGTTCAGCCAGAAACTAAGGACCAGAGGAAGAAGGCGGCTCTGTCAGGGACAGTAGAAATGAGGTTTGCGAAATCTAATCCAACACATCATAAGTGTCAAAGGAGTTGTGAATTTGAAACTGGTCAAAGTAAATGTCAGGAGTAAAGGAGGGCTTTAATAAAGGGAGACATTAGGAAGTTTAGCTGTCTTAAATTATCAAAATGCAAGTTGTTAGAGTTCTATATTCCTCTTACAGCTTTCCTAAGGTGCATGCTTCCTTTCACAGATTGCTATGCTTGACACCTTGTTGTACAAGCACTGATATCATTCTGCTAAATGCTTACCTGTGCTGCATATAACCTGGGAGGTGCAAGTAAATTGATTAGCCCTGCCACCTTATACAGTCACCTTCCAACTCAGTAAAGAAGAGCCTGTTTCTTGTGCAATCCATCTGTTCCATTGGCTGGCATCTCCCTGACATGGCAGAAATCCAAGGACTGGCCAGGTTTACAAAAGAAAGAAGAAAGGTTTACAACAGCCATGCTATCTGGACGGTCATGACAGGAACCAGACAATGAAAATTAAGGGCTCCCTGTGAAATATGATCACATTAACACTGAACTATTTAATGTGCCTGTTGTGATGAGGATCATACTTTTTCATGTTCAGCATTTAATCAATGGCAACTATGGCATCAGTACTCATCTCTCATCAGTAAATGGGAACTGTCAGTATGCATGTGGTTTGGCAAAGAACTTGATAGACTTCTGTGACAGACAGACATTTCCTAGCCCAGTGAGAAGCAAGTTGTTAACAGAAAGGCCCAAAGATTCAATAAAGGTATTGAGAAAATAAATCTGAACTGGAGTTGAATGCCAGTATAAGCAGGATATTCTATGCTGCTGGCGTAATTACCTTCTTAACAAGGAAAAAAAAAGCTTTTTTCCTGAAGGCAGTTCAGATAAATGCAGATAAACTTCCAATTTATGGAAAGACACAAGCCCCCTTTTTTGCTTTAGTCCACTCACATATAGACAGCTGAGAAATTCAAGTAAAATATTACATACCTCCAAGCTTTTTGTATGAGTTCAAAATACAACTGTACACAACAAGTTAGATTTTTTGGTAGTATTTCTGTCTTTTTTAATACCACAATGCAATTAGTTAAATGTTCACAGTTTAGGAGTTACAGATTTTACTTCAAAACTCTTTGTCAAACTAACAGCAACTTTGATGGATTTCAGCAAGTTGTTCTGAAAGGGAAATAAGAACAGACGCTGAGATAGGAAATCTTCTTTAAAGTTTTGTGCTCAAGGTACCTGGCTTTATATAAAAAATCGCCATCAGTCCTCATACACTTCATGTGTATTACCACATACCCTTCAATTCTTGTAAATCAAATGGTAGAGCATGGGTGCCTGTATGCTTACAATGGTCACTTTTGTGCCTGCAGGATGATCACATGCTTATAAGTTTAGTCACCTACATGTTTAGACAGTTTTGAACTGATCTGTTTTTATAGTGTTTACTGAGTTTTAGGCAATTATGTCCAAAGTGATTAATGCTATTTAGCCTTCTTAGTAGAAAATACCAGTCATTAAAAGCAGAGTTTCTCTGAAACCTTTAAACCAAAAGATACTTTGAGACACGAAGAAACATCTGTCACATATCAGTTCTGGTTGTATTCAAAGCATTGTTTTATTCTTATCTGTTTACAATAGGACACACATCTTAAGTATGTTCCAGAAAGGAAACAAGTAGATTAAAAATGCAAATAAGTATTTGAGCTTCACATCAGGTGCCTTCTGTTTCCTGAAATTACTGGCTATCTATCAGCAGTTAGTACATTTGCCAGACTCACTGTGCAGTTTGGCTCTCTGGATGCTAATAAAAATGTAAATCCTCAAAGGAAATCCAGCTTACTTCAGAACTTGCAGCAATCTCATGCTTACTGTTTTTTGCTTATGCCACTTGACCTGTAGCCTTGTACATGCAGCCCAAGCTTTCTGAAACCTTTTGGTGCAGCAGCAGATACAGAAAGAGGCACTTTTTCCTCCATTATGTATAAGGGAATGCATAATAATGCTGGCTGAATTGCCCTCTCCTGCAGCTGAAAACACTCATAAAATACCTCACTGCATGTTGTATTATGCTTGTGTTTTGCAGCAGTAAAGGTCATTGTCACAGCTCAGTAAATCACACTGTGTACTCACTTTTTCCCCCTGGCAGCATAGCGCCTCTTCTTACCACACTTCTTACAGGCATCCTGTACAGAAAATTACTTATTTAAAGACTATTCTGAAAACCAAAAAGACAAGAACATTATAATATCTTAGGTTAAAACCCAGCATAATGTAAAATTATATGATGTATGTACAGGTTAAGGAAAAAGATGGTGAAAAGCAGCACTGTGGAAAGGGATCTGGGGATCCTTATTGATGAAAAGTTGAACATGAG